TTTGGTGCATCCAAGCCTACTCTTGTTCCTATGTGGACTTGGAGATCTACACCGTCCACCAAAACCAGGTCCTATAAATGATAGTCTTTCATAGAAAAAATAAAATCAACGGTTCAAATATTTTATCTAAAAAATATCATTTTTAATTTTTAAAATATATTTATTTTTACAGATTAATAATCTCCATATTAAATATCATATATTCCCTAAAAATTAGGATCAAATTCTATTTAAAAATTAAATTCTTAATGGTGCTAGCATTTTTACATGTGAGTTTGTGGATTCATAAAAACCATGTCCATCTTCTATTTAATTTAAAATTAAAGAACATATAGTCTGGAGTCGGAATAGTTATAACTAGGCAAAAATTTAAATATTTCATCTCTTGGGTATCTTGACAAATTTCCCATTTATTTTTTTTCATAGACGGTGAAGATCAAGTGTGGCTTCTGGTAATGTATATCCACCCAGGTGCGTTCTGTTCCCCTTGGGAGAAAGAGACGGGCTTCGGTTATGAATGCTGCTTCTCTAGTGAGTCACTACTCTGTCTGTGAATCTATCTATATTAGCTTATTTACGATGTTAATTAAGTGGGAGAATGGATTTATTATGATTACCAATACTATTCTTGCTTAAGTCAAAGATTTTTAAGTGAGAAAGAAAAGGAGGATATAAGGCACCGTGTACTTTGACTTGATGGGTTTAGATCCGGTTTTGACTCCCCTCGTCCAACTCTCGCTTCCAAAGTCGGATTGGGCCATATTTACAAGAGTATGAACATAAAAGAATAAGTCGTTATTTGAATTGGCTAAATCAGGATATCAGAATAAAGTGAGCCTTCAAAGATGCCTACACTTTGGCTCTCAAAACAGAGGAAATAAAAATTGAAAGATGACGAAAATTTTGAGATTTTTGTACCGAAATTGCCAGCCTCCCAATTTAGTCCGACCTGGGTGATTCGAAAATTGAACAAGCGATTTTCCAATCACTGTTGCAGCAAGTTCTTGAGTCCCAGTGCTGACCTACCCAAAGAAAGAGAAGAACGAAAACCAGGAGTTGGTTCGATTTTTCCATTGTTTAAACAAAAGTTACAAAATATTATGATTACTAATCCCTCGAAAACTTTCCACGGTTTATGACTCGAAATAAAACGTGTTTTGCTTCATTAGAAAATGCAACATGCGATTAATTGCAGATCTTATATATTGGGATGAGGTAAGAAGATATCTTGTGGGTGCCGTAAAGGTTCAGCTGACATATCTATTTTTTCGCTACCCATTGTCTTTATCTTTTTCTCCATTGCCATATTTCCTCACTTAACGTATGGTTTTTGCTAAAGCAGAATGGTGGACACGTGTAACCAACTTCAAATAACCAATTTCAAATAGTTGAAAAAATATTTTGATCATGATAAATTTAAAAAATATAGACTATGATGATTACTCAATTCTTCTCTATTAACAAGTTAACCAAATGATGGGGTATCTGTGAGTCGGCTAACTCATATATACATGTGCTACCCCCATATAAACTCCATTTTAAAGATGGATTTTCTATCTAATTTTTTTTTTTGCAAATACAACATCTAGACAAAGTAATTATGAATATGGAAAAAATTTAAATTTTTAAATTTAAAATATATTGTTTTTTTGGTGCATCACCCATATAGCATTTATAGAGGGTACACTTTGTGTAGTATGAGTGAGTGAGCTCTTGCATTTGCTAACTCACACAACAATTATCCTTAATCAAATCATCATGATTTTATGTTCTTGTAAAACATAAAATATTACATCATCATCATTGTTGTCATAGTTTTTTTCTAATTAATTAAGGTTAGCTTCATGAAGCCTAATCCGGCTACATAAAAACATTATATAAAAGGTGTGGTTTGTATAGAGCTGAGGCTCTAAACAATTCAAATCAAGCACACCTTCAACTAATGTCGAGAAATGGGATTTTAGTATTGAAAATCTTCGTGATAGCCTTAAAATATATTTTCATAAAAACTTGAAAATCTTGAGAATTAACAGCTCAAAAATGCGCTACAACATGCATTATTTTCAAAACTTGAGATCCATTTTTTTTTCTCATGTTCATACATCTTGATGTCAAGATGATCAATTTGAAGATATTTGAGCATCAAAACAACCTTTTCTACTAAATTTTTTGAAATGCACTCTAATTTGATTGTTTAAAACCTCGGCTATATATATACTTGTCCTTGCCACCAAAATACCTCTAAATATATATCCATTTGAAGCTTAATAATCAAACTGATTTTGACAAATTTGGCACTTCTAATATTCCATAAATGGCAAAAGTACAACTGAAGAAAGTCTTCTCCCTTGAGTGCTTCACCATTCAATTTATTTTTTCAATGCTTTTGTCAAAGATGTGGATGTGGAACAAAAAGTAGAAGCTTGCCTTCAAAGGAAAATTAAGTCTATGAAAGGCCAAGAAAAAAATGGAAAAAAGGGCTAAAAAGGCAATACTTTGTTTATTCATTAATGAAGTAAACGTACATCGCTGAAAATCTATGACACAAAACAAGTAATGATTAATCGCGTTTATTTAGATAGCACGCCCACCGTACATCACGTCCATTAAACACGTGTGGTCCAACACCAGCACGTGTACCGGTATTTCGAAACTCGCACAGATATTTTCTAGTAGGACTCCGCTTTCGGGGGCAAAAATATCAAATGCATCCCTCACATAGTCATATGACCGAGAAGGGTTTTTTTTTTAAAAAAAAAAAAAAAAAAAAAAAAAAAAAAAAAAAGAAAAAAACAAGTAATCCCGATTGGAACTGGCCCATGTGGATAGGGAAATGGAGAGGCCGGCCATGTTCCTCCAAAATATGGACAACTTTGTGATTCATTAGAGAAGCCGCAAGAACGAGTGCCACCTTTTATTTTTTATTTATTTTACAATTTATTTATTTTTTCTTTTTTATTTTTATTTTATTTTCAATCAACCGGTTCACTTGGCCAGATTGTTGATCCAGACTACTGATGTGCTAGATTGATTCGATTTTCTAGATAGACAATCCTTGCCATCGATCCATTTTTTTAAACCTTGACTTAGACAAGTGAGAATCTAGGGCTGTAACTAGGTCAAGTTGTGTGTTAGATCATTATGAAAAGATCTAAATTAGACCCAACTGTAAGTTGGGTCAAATTGGATCCATTGACAACTGAGGATTTAGCATTGTAAATAGGTCGGGTTGTACCTGAAAAGGTCTAAATTAGACCCAGGTGAATGTCAGGTCAAATTGGATCCAAATTGAATCTGACCAAACTTGGCTGGATGGACCCGTAGTGGATCAGAACTAGTTTGGGCTCAAGTCATATGGACCTAGACCTGACCCATTGGGTTCAGACTTCGACACAAGTTGACCTGACTCGTTTACCACCCCTACACAGATCCCCTGTCTCCACCGTTAATGCATATCATCAATTGCTTGTACCTAACACCATGTGAAGCCCCATGAACATGTCGAGCAGTGATTCTCATATGTGAAACACACCGATCATCACACCATTTACTCCCATCATCACTTAGATGGGTTAAGAAAATTGTTGTTGATTAATTTACATACAAAAAAGAGAAGTTAAATAGGAAAAACAAAAAATATAGTAGATATACGAAATGGATTGCTTGCTGTCACAGGTCTAGGTATTAAATGTGCCAGTGAACATCATGTTCCTGCCCACATTTATGAGTATTTCCATGTTTGGTGATGCAGATAAACACCAAACATCACTATTTTTTGGCCTAAAATTCAAGTTCAAATGTCTGGTTGGATTCCCTATATAAAATTTGTATGGTTTTCGCATGGGTCCCTTCCCATTTCTAGAAAAAATAAATCATATGACCCAAGGCATGAAAACTAAGTTTTCTGTCTTGAAAATTAGGAACAGAAAGACTAAAAACCCCAATATGGTTGATTTTAATTAGCACACTGGTTAGAGTAAGTAGTTCTATAATATTAATAATGCATTGTTATTCCTATCGAAATGAGTCCTAAATACCAATGGTCACTTTGAGTGTTTTAAAACCTGGCGATTGCATTGGTATTCTTGTAGAAATCGCTGATTCGGATGCAGAATCAGATGGGTTGAATCGGTTATGGAATGATGTATGTCCCGGTCTAATTCTCTTCCAAAACATCCTTTTCATTTTTCTTTATTTCTTTCTTTAAGGTTATTTAATGTTTTATATCTCTCCACCTAAATCCCCACCCCATAGACCTCTACTTTAATTTTAATTATATTTTAGTTTTTAATTTTTTAGGATCACCAATCCAGATGATTCAAGAACGATCCAGCTCGCCGATCTAGACCAAGATTGGAGGTGGGCAATCCGCTCCACCTATCCATTTTTAAAACACTTATCACTTTAAATAAGATGATGCATGATGATCTGATCCGACTCCAAACCGGATTGAGATTTTGGTTCAAAGATTTGGAATCGTCCCAATTCTACATGTTCTTTAGGTTTTATTTTAGTTTCTTTTTAATTGTAGCCTGTTCGAACTCGGGCCCGAGTTGGAACAAGTGACTTGCTGTTAGAGTCGTCGAGATTTATGGCTCATACCCGATTTTCAAATCACTACATTAGGGTTGGTAATGGGCACGGCAACCCTACCCTGCCCATCATATTTTTTTTTTTTTTTTCTGTTAGTATACTTGGTTTGGCTTGGCCTGAACAAGGCAAGGGCTAGGGCCTCTTCAACCTGGTCGGGTCTTGGTTTATACCAATCCTATAAGGATTTTTTTTTTGTTTTTTGATTTTTTTTTTTTTTGGGTAATTCAATAGGGGAGACATGTCCCCTACACATTTTTTCACATAGTTTAGGAGTTAATTTTTTAAAAGCTTTAGTGGGTGATGTCAGTGCCAATGGAAACCATAATGTGATGCTTAGGATGTGGGGGTACTATCACCACGATCCCAACCCCTTTCTTGGTCCAACCGGGTCTGAGGCCGAGCCCAATCTTAGCCTCGGGTAAAATTTAGAAAAATATAAAAGACTTAGAGATTCGCTATCAACATGTGTAAAACAATCATTTGGAAGGCTAGAATCTTGATATGGCTTAGTTCTAGGCTTCTAGCACCTATTTGCTGCCCTCCTGCCAGAGAGATTTATTTCTCAATTGTATATATGATTTATTAATGCAACAAACAAAAATTAAAAATTTGAAACAACAATATTGATTCTTGAACCCCACACAAAAAACTTGTTATTTATCTTCACAACAGTATGCGTACACATATAACTCCATTATAAGCACTCCAAAACATGACGAGGTAGTAGTAGTACTAGCTACGTACTACGTAGGGTGCATGACAAGCGACAAATATGTACATCAAGATAGAGAGAGAAAGAGGAGAGAGAGAGAGATCAGCCTCTGGTTTTAAAGATGGTGGTTGTGCCACTTCCCAAGCCTGTGGATCCTAGTAGAGAGAGAAAGAGAGAGAGATCTCTGTTTGATGATGCTGATTGTGCTGCCATGCCTGTGAAGCCAGTATAAAGAGGGACATCTTCATGGGTAGAGAGAGAGAGAGAGTGACTCCTTCATGGGTAGAGAGAGAGAGAGTGATTCTCTCTTTGAACAGATGTAGAGAGAGAATGAGTAGTGTTCTGGTGCAGTAGTACTAATCCTTAGTTCTGATGATAGTGATTGTGCCTGTGCCGCGTGTGTGTATCCTGGTGAGGCCCACAACGGCTTTACCCGACAGGGCAGAGGAGGAGTGAGAAAGTAGAGAGAGAGAGGGGGGCAATGTGGCGTAGTCTCCAACCGGGTGCTGAATGGGCCTGGTGGGCCTCGTCAGAATCCTCCTGTTTATGTCTCTCAACGTCACATCTCCCTCCACACCGCTTGGCTTCACCACTGCAAATGGATAGGCCACCCTACTACTACTAGCCGCCACCTTCTTCTTCTTCTTCTTTATTATATGTTCCTTCCTCTTCTCCACTCCTTCATATGAGAAAGTAAGAGAGAGAGAGAGAGAGTCATTCTCGAACTGATTCTAAGAAAGTTAGAGAGAAAGAGTCACACTTGGAACTAATTGTAAGAAAATTAGAGAGAGAGAGCCATTTAAATTAATTGCAGTGTACTGGGACTCGTATTTTGGCTTAGGCGAGTTATTTGAGTCTAGATTCAAAAGGTCCTAACAAAAAATTATAAATAAATTTAAAAAAGAAAAAATATTTAAAGTACAAAAGATGGTATATAATGAGAGTATTTACCTTTTGATAAAATTAAAAAATAATTTTAAAAAATAAAAAAATATTAAAAGTAAAAAGTTGTATACAATGAGGTAATTTACTTTTGATACAAAAATGTTACAATTACTTATAATTATCGGATGTGAAATTTTATAGCTTAGGTGAATCACAAAGTTTGATAAATTTTTTTTTTTAAATTTTGAGCTTGGTCAATGAAATAAATAAAACCACCCATTTCATATCCAATGGTCAACATTAATTATGACCGCCTTGTATCAAAAGTAAATATTCTCATTATATATTTTCTTAAAAGTAAATTCAAATCTAAAACAATTTTGACAGTTAAAACAAACTCAAAAGTGGAGCAAAAATGCATTTTTTAAATTTATAATTTAAGATATTTTTAAAATTTAAAAAGAACATAAAATAAGTGATTATAGCTTACCAATTGCTGCATTCAAATCTTGTAATAAAGTTTTTTATAATTTTTATTTTTTAACTTTTTTGGTTGTCCCTAATTGTACTAAGTCAGGGATTCTTAGTACCACCCATAGGGCTTCGCCACTAATAAGAAAATTGGACAGAGAGAGACCCACTCTTGAAGTAATTATAAAGGAAATGAGAGAGAGAGATTCACTCTTTAACTAATAGAGAGAGAGAGACTTTAAACTCATTGTAAGAAAGATCAACTCTGAAAGTAATTGTCAGAAAAATGGAGAGAGACCCATTGTTAAGCACAGAGAGAGAGAGAGAGAGAGAGAGAGACCCACTCTAACACGAACTGCAGGAAACCTTTCCGACAAGCCACAAAATCCATAAAGAGAGGAGACCATCATTCTCGAAGTAAACAAAAAAAAAAAAGACAATTTTTTGAGGAAGACCCATCTCAATGCGACAGTCTGATATCAAATCTCCTGCAAGAAAAGCTATCCTTGAAAGAAGGAAAGGAAAAGCCTCTGCTGAGGAGCTCAGTTCTGAAAAGAAATACCAACTTAAATGCTAAGCTACATAATATAAAACTATGAAAGTTTACGGAGAATAGACCCCGCGTCAAATAATCTAACATGAATAGTGTTTGTCTGTATATCAAGACACGACATTCGTATTTGACACTTGAATAATCACTTGAGATGTTTTTTTTTTGTTAAATATCCATATTTCTCATTAGTCCCTTTCAATTCTACCGACTCACCATTAATGTACCTTAATGTCTTTAAACATTCAGCCTACACTTTTATTTAAATGACATATATTTAAATGACATACATATATTTAAAAGACTAATTTTAAAATTATCGACCCTAACACCTGTATATGTGTCAGATATTAACACACATATATGTATCTTTACAACATAAATGTTGGAGGACACAGCCTTATATACTAGATAAGAAGATGAATCTTATTACAACTTATAATTCGTTATAATCTGAAAGGAAAATTATCAAAATTCCCATGAACGATTTACATATTTACAACTATTCCAACCCATCGGCTATATTGAAATTGAATAAGACAATATGTATAAAATATTAATTTATTTATTTCTCATAGGCATAATTCATATAAACTAAATCTATATACAAGACAAACTTTTTTTAACTAACCCACTAATTTAGTGGAAAACAGGCTGTTAAAATCATTAGGATGACTTAAAAAGGACATCTTAATAATGTAATGGTGCAAATGAAATCCCATCTTATCACCAACCAACCAATGACATAGAGAAAAACCCCATCAACTGAGACTGATCAAAGAGAGAGAGAGAAAAAAAAAACTTTTCAAGCCATTCTTTTAATGGTGATAATACCTACCTTTAAAAATCATCAGTTTAAGAGAAACCACTAATAACTAATCAGCAAAATAAATAACACAAAACCCAGGAATAAAATATGAAAGCAATTACCATGTGAACTCTTGGCCTCTTCATCTGAACCGAAGCTTTCTCTCTCTTCCTTGAGTGAGCCTGAAATTCTCTCTTCAACACAAGAGAGTCTCTCATTTCTTTCTTCACTCTTCAACTCCTGAAAGGCTTCCTCAACGCTGAGGCAACTCAATGAGAAGTTTGAGTGTTCTCCTGCATTTAACACCACTCTAAAACATTTTCAGAAAGAGAAGACTATAGAATTTCAAGTTTTCAGGTTAAAAAAATAAGAGCTTCAAAACAAAGAGCCATGGCATCCACCTGAAACTGTGCTATCACTTGTTACTTCTCTCTGCAAATCCCAATTCCAATCATTCTGACATCGATAAAATGAACACAGAAAATGAAAACCAGATGAAAGAGATAATACGGAGGCCCATATACATATGGAGAGAGAGAGAGAGTATTGAAGAAGTTACATGTAGAGGAGAGCCATGGATTTGGGTTGCCTGAGAACTACAAGGGGGAAAGAAGAGTGTTTTTCTCTTCTTGCACTGATCCTTCAAGTCAACCAATGCATCTTGTAGGTAGCCTGTAGCTGTGTGAAGGAAATAGTCGGAAGAGGGTGAAGCTTGATGTTGTGGTGAGCTCTGGTTCCAATTTTGCATCACTGCAATATACATAATTCGAAACCATTTCGAGAGAGATCAGAAGAATTTGTGGGGAGAGTACCCATAAACCAGAAAGTGCATGTGAGAGAAAGAGAAGGGGAGAAAGGGAGAAACAAGAAACATCCATAATTCAGAACAGAGAGAGAGAGAGCACCCACCCAAGGACATGTCTGCCCCCAAAAATGTGAAATTCTGATTCTCCAACTCCAACCATGGGCACCCAAACCCTACTTCCATGGAAGAACTTGGGTTTCTCAGTCCAAGTGTATTGACCTCCATTTTGGGCCTCTGAATTTAGGTTAAATTTTTGAGAAAAAGTATGTGGAAAGAAAAGGCAGTGTAGATGACTAGAATAGAAGCAGAAGGTGGTCAATGTTAGAGAGAGAGAGAGAGAGCAGCAAAAAGAAAAGGTGTTTCTTCTTCTTTCTCTTTCTAGGGTTTTGTGAAGAATTTGAGGTGGAGGGTGAATTATTGTGTTAGCCATGATTCTGCTGCACCATGCTACTAGACAAATTCAAATCCAGGCTTTGCCTTTTCTGGCTAAATTACCAGCATGAAGGCCCCAACATACCCAATATTGACCATACTGCCCCTTGACGTTTTCCTTTATGACTCTTATGCCCCTACCTTTAGTCCTTGCCTGTTGTCCTACAACTAGATCTCTTTCCCTAGCTTTTTCTTTTTGAAAACTAATCTAAAAACTTGCTGATGGTCCCATACATGTCTTGCATTTTTATCTCACCTTTTTTTTCATAATAGTAGTAATAATATTTGAGGGGGTAGAAAAAGCGGGCCCAGAATATAGGTCCAATTTTATTTATGGTTGCAGTTTCAAGCTAATTTACTACAAGAAAAAAGGTCCAATTTTATTTATGGCTGCAGTTTCAAGTTAATTTACTACAAGAAAAAAATAAACACGCTTTATAGGATTGAACCCACAACTTGGAGACCCATGTTCTACTTAATTGAACTAAGATTGCTTTCTCATTATAGTTGATATTTGAATTGAAAAATAAAAAGGTTCTTTTTGTATCTCCTAATTTAGCATGTCCCTATTTATACGAAGGACAAATAAACAGAAGACCTTTGAGTTTTGATATTAGTCACTGCTTACATTAATTTGCTCACAATATTAAATACTAAAAAAGTAGTAAAATAGTCTACCACATATGCATGCTAGGGGGAATATTGCACCATGCTTTATTATGCACCTAAGCAAGGTACGGTCAAATGTCCTATGCCCACTCTAAGATTCACTTCTTCCCTAGGCCTAGGGGACGCGCTATAATAATATTCTTATGATCACACTACTACTGTTTTGGGGTAGTATTATTAGTATTATTTTATGGAAAAAGTTTATATAGGGCCAAGGCTCTAAACAATCCAATCATAACCCACTTCAAAAATTTCACTAGAAGAGGTCATTTTGATGTCCAAATATCCTCAAATTGATCATCTCGACTTCAAGATGCATGGATACGAGAAAAAAATTGATTTCAAGTTTTAGAAATAGTACATATTGTAACACATTTTTAGACCGTCAATTTTTAAAATTTTCACGTTTTTATAGATATGCTCAATGTACACTATTTTTTAATATTTAAATTTTATAATTAAAAATGAAAAATATATTTTAAGGCTTTCACAAATATTTCCAATATTGAAACCACATTTCTCGATACCATTTGCATGTGTTCTTTACATTGATTGTTTAGAGCCTCAGCTCTATACAAACCTCACCCTTATTTTATTAGGTGCCCACTTTATACCATACAATTAAGGAAGGTGCATCTCTAAATTTTGCCTGATGATATAGTTTTTGGGCACTAGAAATCTTAAGATGGCTTGAAAAATCCATGTTCAACCCTAATCATAAAATTTTAAATTTGAAAAATAGTATAGAATGAGCAGATCTATAAACATTTGAAAATTTGAAAATAGATGGTCCATAAAACTTATTACAAGCTGCACTATTTGGATGGCTTGGGTTGAGTACTTGTAAATGAGAATAATTGTGACCTCCATGTATAAAAGATAAATAGTCTCTTTGTAGACATAATTGTGAGGAGCATAGGGTAACAACTTTTGTTTAGGTTGGCAAAGGGTTAGGCTTGGGCTATGCTTGCCTTGGCCACAGCCCAGCCTTGTTTCCTTGAGGGCTGGCCCATGCATGGCCTGGCCCAGGCCAAAAAGGCCTTGGCCCTATTAGGAATGGGCCATGTAAAATTAAAAAACTAAACCAAAAACTTTTAAGAAATAAGGTTTGGCCGAGCTCGGGCCAGCGTTGGCTAGCCCTGTTTTGGCCTTGGCCCAGGCCTAACTCGACCCTGTTCTCATGCCACATTTATGGTCTAGGCCCTAGTTTTCCAAGGCCGGGTCGACCCTTGCCACCCTTATTTGTTCATTCTTAACCACTAATGGTGGAGATCAGTGATTTCGTGCAACAGCTGTAGAGTAATATAATGCAACAACCTTCAAAAACCATGTTTGGGTAATTCGTTTGACCCAACTTTTAAAATATACACTCTGTTCATTCTACTGAACAATTATAAAATAGAAAAAAAATTTGAAAACACAACTTCGAAAGTATTTTGTTAGCCCAATTAACATAGGCCGTCCATTTTTATAAGATGCTTAGATCAAGGCTTTAGAAAGATTTTTTCATTTCCAATTTTTTTTTATGGCTTTATTATCATTAGATGAACAATGTTTAAAAAGGAAAATTTGATTTTGAGTTTTTAAAGGCTAAGATCTTGAAATTCACCAAATGAATGGTCTAGAATCGTTATTGGAGCAATTTTTTTTTTTTTTGGATTGATTATTAAGATGAAGCGAGTGTGTGTGTAAAATTTTGGGTCCTACAAATACCACAAACATGGTTTTCTAAAAGTGTGGTTGCATTATACTATGACACAACCATGACATTAGATCGTTGCCTTTTATATATATATAATATTTTTAACTTTCAAAGACCTAATCCCCCTTCTAAGGTCAGATTGTGGAAATGATCGGATCTAGATTAGGATTGAGATCCAAATTCTATGGATAGTTCTCCTATCCATATTTAAGCAAACTATGCACAAAGAGGACGTTGGTACATACAGCACGCATATAGTACAAGTTTGGGGAATCCACTATTTATGATTGACG